GTGAGGCTGTCCCCCACAGGCAGCCCCGCTTCTCCCGTTCAACCTTTCGTGGATGGGGTGGGGGGAGGAAGAAGGTCTCGGCTGGCGGAGCGGTCCCTTGAGGCCCAGCTCGGACAACCGGGTCCTTGGCGTGAGGAAAGGCGCTCAGATTCCCCCGTGATAAGGGAGTGAGCGGAGTGGAAGCTTTAGAGCCGCTCCCCCTCCTGCTGCTCTGTGGGGAATCTCTGTTTGGCACTAGTCTTTTGAACGCAGTTTTTGCCTGAAACCCATCTTAAACCTCCACACGGACTTGTAATTGTAGGGCTGTGTTTCGATGTAGTTTGAATGCCTTTGGGGAAGAGGGCTTTTCTGAGGCAGTGGTTGTTCCAGGACTAGGACAGAGAGGCAGGGTTGTTCAGGAACAGTCGTGTGTGTTAGGCTTCCTTCACTCTCCTTTTTTAATACTGGCAGCTGTGTAGGTGTCCCAAGTTGAACATCTCAGCTTTAGGAAGGACAGCAGCAAGTGCTGAACCTTTGGGAGTGGAAGATCTGGGGTCCACACTGAACAGTGCTTTTCCCCACCTTCTTGCAGTCAGGTCTTGCTTGAGGAAAGTTGCCATGCCTTTTTTTTTTTTTTGCTTCTCTTTACCTTTCTGGGAACAGCTGGTGTTTTCCTTTACTGTTCTGCCCCAGCTAATAAGCTGGCTGGCTGGAGTCTGAGCTGGCTCTGCAAGCTTATTCACTTGGCCTTGGACCATACCTCATCTGCAGCTGGCTTATTCTTACTGGGAGGCAGCTACTGATGTTCGGGGCAGTTGTTGGAGAATGGGAAACATTTAAGTTTCTTCAGCCAGGTTTGAGGAATTCCTGTCATACTTCTACCATGTGTAGTATTGGTTCCTGGTAACAATCACGGAGGTGTTGCGTAGTTAATCCTCACCTTGTTGTGTAGAGTATCCTCAGCTGTGCTTGCACCAGTCTCTCTCTTGGCTAGGACACAGCTGCTGCTTAGGCTTAATATAGATATACGCTAGGCAGGGTGTGGGGAGGCGGTATGTAACTCGGATTATTGTATGCTCATCTTTTGTGTACTTCTAAGCCAAAAATGCCCAAGCATTACATTTAAGCAATAGTTTATTGTATGTCAGTGTCTGTCTTGCCACATGCATCCGTGTGATTATTCACTGTGCTACACGTAATTGGTGTCACTTTAAAAAAAAATAAATTCTTGTTTAGCATGTTTAATTTTTAAAACATGATATTCATGCTTAGTGCCCGTCCGGTGCACAAGCTGTCTGCCTTGTTTGTGACAAATGCAGTTGTGTTTTGGACAAACAAAATAACCAATGCCAGAAGGGGGGGGATGGGGAGCTGTGCATAAGCTCATGTGAACTCTGAGTATGCAAAATTCTCTGGAGTAATGTGAAAATCCAAGGAGTTTGGAAGAAACGAGTTTTGCAGTATTTAGAAAAAGCTAACAAATTAGTGATGGTTTTAGATTGAAAAGAACTTGAAAAAGCTTAGGGACCTTAATAAATAACACTCATGCCAACTGTTTGAGGGAGCAGAGTTCAAGCCAGTTGAAACACTGCAAGAGCGTTCATTGGGTGGGTAAAAGAACTTTTTAAACTAATTCTGAGGAAGGTGGTACCAGCAACTTTACTTTATCTGTGCTTTTGTTAGCCATGCAGACAAAGTATGTAACAAAAAGCAAGCCAGTTGTTGTGTCTTTTAGTGTATTGTTAGAATGATAAGTTGTGTTCCAAATATAAAGCTCTTGTTACTGCTGTAACAAAAAAAATGTTAGGGGATTTTTCACTCCTTTGGCAGAGTTTGTGAATTCAATCATAAATGTAATTTTTTTATTGTAAACAGAGCACGTTTGAGATCTAGGGATTTAGCATATATTCAGTCCTTTGCAAAGTACTTGTGACATTTTAATTATTTCAGGGATGTGTGATTTTATTTTTTTTTTAACTTGGAGGAAGGGCTTAGAAAAACTCATGAGGCAGAAACCCTTAGCGTTGGTAGTAGTCTGCTATTATCGTTGTAGACTTCCTTCTATAAATGGTAAAGATAGCTGATGTAGCCAAACTGCTGACAGAAAGGGATGTTGTCTTGTCAGATACTCATAATTCGTAGTGAGTTTGCTAAAATAGGTTGTATTTGTGAAGATTTGTTAAGTAACTTACTGTCAAGGTTTTGTTTAACTGGTATTTGGTGTCTTACATATGATCATCCCCCCCAAAAAAAACCCCAACCATATATATGTATTTGTGTTCAGTATGTCTGCACTGTGCTGTGTACTTCTCTACAGCATTCCCTGCTCAGCGTATTGTGGAGTGCTGAACATGGTGTCTTTTTCCTAGCAGAAATACACCAGTGTAGGATACCTGTAGCAGCCTGGAAGTAAAATTGATCATCTGGAAATCACTCCCATATCTGAAAATGATTAAACTTAACTGTGAAAGTACTTTGTTAGTCTCTTTGAAAGTCATGTGTGAGGAACACTGAGGTGGCATTTGGAAACTTAATAGTATTGGAAACTATATTGCATCAGCTTTGTAAAGCTTTGGGAATCTCGATTGTGGGTGCAGGATATGTTACTGGTTTGTTATGTAACACGTAAAATTATATTCACCTCTCTAGAGATAAGATTTGATTTAGTTATTCTCTTAATCCTTTTTTTTTTTCTGTTTTCACTGAGGCACAGAATAACATGGAAACCATTTGGGAGCAGACATCTGTGTAAAAAGTTGTGTGGGAATCAAGAAAAGTGTGGTGGTATTTGGTTTAGAAGGAGTTTAATTGGCTGCTGGTCCTTTCTAAGTCTCTGTGAAAGCTTCAGTCTAGACAAGTGAATCTTCAATGAGCTCTCTTGAAAGCTCAGTCCTTTACTTAAGTGGTTTTTTTTCTTAAATGTAATATCTTTCAATTTTCATAATGTTTTCATTCAACACTCCAAATATTGTATAGATAAAAGTGACTAAATCCTCATAATACTCCTGTGGGATAGGTAATAAACCAAATTTTTTATCATGCTGTGAGCCTCATTACTGGTTGGTTGTTGTCTCCAAGAATAATTGGCTCCCATTTTCATTTGGTTTGTAGGCAGTTATCAAAAAAAAAAAAAAACAACCCAACTTTCCTGCTATAATTCTCTGGGCAGAACTTGCTAACTCTTGAATCTCCCTGCCCCCCAGCTTTTCATCTGCTAATTTTTTTTCTAGATAATTGTGCTTATTTGAAATGATGCCTAAAGCTCAGTGTAGTGCTGACCAGAGTTTCAGTTGTGAATTTGGCAGCACAGTTACTTCTGTTTACTTTGTGCAAGTTTTCTTTTTGTGCCAACGTGTAATTTATTTGTTCAGGGTTAGACTGTGATGTTACAACCAAGTCTGGAACGGGGACTGTGGGCCTCTGTGCCCTCTGAATTATCTTGAGAGGAGGATCGCTGTCCTGGCAGTGGCCTGCCCTTTTGTTACAGTAGCTGCAAGACAGCAGAAGTTGAGACTGTTTCTTCCTGCCTTGCTTATGTGAATCAGGAATTGTCTATTGGTGCAAGTGGGAATTCTGGAGTAGTAGTGCAAAGGAGTAAGAGGGCACATGACACCATTGCTCTGTATTCAGAACAGGCAGGCTACTAGGCATCTTTCTGGCCTGCCTTTAGTATTCTTAATTTTTCTGTGATGTAATATGGTGTATTTTAATCTAGTATTACTCTTGGCCACTTCTACTCTTTTTCATGATTAAAATATAAAACATTTACAATAGTGATATTTGATCCATCCTAGTTTTGTAATGTATAAACATTAATACTGTACTTTCAATCCAATGCTTTTAGCTTAATGAAAATGCTCTGTAATAATACAGATACCTATTAAATATCACTTTCTCTATGGCCCCTGAAAGATTAAAACTTGATTGGGTTTATTAGCCAAACTGTTGATGCAATTGTCTAAAGGCGTAGTCACGTATATTAATTTAGGCATAAAGCAAATTAATGGGAATTCCTTGCAAGAAGTCATCTTGGAGCTATCACTTTACATGTTTCTAATAATGTTTTCTTTTTTACCCCTTCCCATGGTGCTGTTTGTGTATTCTTCCTGCACAGCCATTATTAGTCTCCCTTTTTGTCTGTTCCCAGACTTTTTCCTGATCCTTTCTTGTTAGATGTTTCTAGTTGTGCCCTATGCTATTTTTTTTTGTGCCAACAGGCTGAGAAAAATACCTAAGATCCTTAAGTTTTAGATGAGAGAAATGCCAGAACATGTTGCATCAGATCTTGACATTCGTGCTTAACAAGATGCTGGTTGGAGCTGATGGGACTCTTGCTGACCCAGTGTTGCAATCGTATACAATTAAGAGCTTGGGATTATGGCTGTGCTCTGTAAAGTGACAGAAAACCTGTACATAGGATTCTCTATTATTTTGAGTTGCATTTCATACATTCTCAAACAACAAATGAATTTTTTTTCAGCTGCTAGTTCAACAGCAAACTGGGAGCGTATATTTAAATTGCCGTTTGCAGACAAACCTGAGTCAAAACTCAAATCCAGGCTTGTTAAATGCAAACCCATATTCAGGCAAGGTCTCTGGTTAGCTCACAGTACGTGTTAGTGTGCTTTGCTTCCCTGTGTGTGACAGTGACTGTTCTTTCGCCACGTTCTTGCTGCCATGAGGCCTTGTGATGATATTGTTTGCCCAGTGCTAGGCAAACAAGTTGTTTCTGGGCTCCTGTCTTGAAGGAACCGAAGTCATGTGAAGTGGTGGGTTATGGCATAAGTAGGTTGCCTGAACTGTAACTGCCTTGAGAGCAGTGTGGATGTAACGTGGCCAGAAAAGAGCTCCGTAGGAGCATATGTAGTATAGGTGTGTAGCTCTGAATCTTTGGTGCACATAGTGGTTTTGTGGAGCAGATAGGAAGGGTAAATTGGGAGGATACAGGAGACATCTTTCCTCCAACTGTTGCCTGAGTTTGCTATGGTGGAGGAAATCACATTCTGTACACATCTATATTAGTGGTGTCGAGATAAAATCTTGTACGAGACCTGTAAATAAACCAGAGCTTCATCAGCTCTCATGGCATGTTTTAAATTTTCAGGTGTTTTGTGTAATCAGTCAAATCACTGCTGTAATTTCTGTAGGATAGGCAGGAGAATAAAGAACTTTATTTCGATAGTATTCACACTTGTCCTCATGTGCTGTAGTAGAAGTGGCTTCTGATGAGCAGTGTAGGGTTAGAATAGAGAGACTGACAAGTCTCAATGGTGTCTAGGTGGGGTTTTTATGTGTATTGAGAGAGAAGTGGGCAGTGGAGGACAACAAAAAACAGAACCGTAGAAATTGGTTCTCTCCATTGGGTAGGTGTTGGTTAAATCTGACAACATGTTAAGCAGTGCGTGGTTGTAGTTACGTGGTCGGTTTAATCCGAAGCAAATCCATAGTGCTGCCGAAGATGGTAACTGACTGTTGTAGTATCTCCTTTCTGCTCCACTCTTCTCGTGGTTCTAGTGTTTGTGTGACTGTAGTCAGCCACGCAAAGGGGCTGATCAAGCTTAAAGCTACAGAGAGATGCTCATTTTCGGTCAGATAACTGATCTAGTTCGTTTCACAAGCGTGTTACTGTAAGTGCTGAACCATGCAAGGGATGAAGGACAAACTGCCCCTATAGTGCACTTGTGAACCTTTCTAAAGTGAGAGGGCAATAACATTGTGTGGGTGAAAGGAATTGAGGAGTGTCAGTGTTTGACTGCCTCTGAGCTTTAGAAGTGCTTGGGGGGGAAAATGGAGAGCAGAAATGTAACTTCTTAGAATTGCGTGGGTAGAGTAAGCTTATTCTGTTAACTTTTTCGTGTAAGAAAGGCTGGTTCTAACTAAATAAAGGGGAAGAAATATAACATAAAGGTGAAGAATCTCTTGCTTGTCTCCCTGTGTTCAGGAACGCATAGACTGTAACTGAGCTATGTGTGCCACAATGGGTTGTGAAAAATCAACTTTCAAGTATTTCCTTATACTGGCTTGTAAATTCTTCAGTGTTAATACCCTACAGGTGGAGCACATAATTTTACTGTTATGTTTCGTGGCTTGATAGACACACAGTGCATCTCGAACATCTTAGTTCTGTGAAGCTAATGCTTTAATGCTTACATGTAAGTTTAGTTAGGAAAAAAAAGCAAGTGTTCAGTCTTTATTTAGGGGGTTTAAGCTTACCCATGAATGAAGTAACCCAACTCTTTATTTAAGAGATTCACTGTAAACCCCGACTGTAGTTGCCTTGATTTTTATTTCATTTCATAGTGCAACAGACATGTTGATCAATAATTTAAAAAAAAAATTAGTGACAATGAAATTTTTTAAATTATTGATCTTATGCATTATTTCCCCTTTTCAAGATAGGTGATTAAAGAAAAACAAGTTTTATCTGACTAGAAACTTTAGGTAGATGGAAAATCTTGTTACTTGCTGCTTATTAGAGGGCTGGGTCTGCTTCTGTAACATGTAGTTTTAGTCAAACGATGCAGTTTTGCTTAGCATGAAACACATTATTTTGGCCTAAGTTTAAGTAAAATTTTGAGGACTTAGCTTATGTTCATATGATGCAGATATGGTCCGTCTGCTTAATTTTTCTTTAGCCCAGAAAGGGGCAGATCTTCATTTAGATACCTGTTCTAAATAATTTGCTGTATAACTTGTGGTGTATATATATTCTTGTATAACTTGTGGTGCTTAGGGACATGGTTTAGTGGTAGACTTGGCAATGCTAGGCTGACGGTTGGACTCAATGATCTTAAAAGGGCTTTTCTAACCTAAATGATTATGTGGTTCTAGTTCCATATTCTTGTCACTGAATATAAGGTGTAGGTACACTGGGACTATACGTGTGGAACATCAGGAGACAGTAGTGTAGGAGTCTGGCCTGTTGCTTTGAGTAAACATGTTCAGTGCTAAACAAAGCTTTGAGCTGCCAAAAGCTCAAAACAAACTTGGGTTAGATTGACCAAAAGCAATAAAATATTATCTTGGTTCATTCTTTACTTAGTTCTAGAGTTAATGTATAACTGTGGTGAAGCAGCCTCTTTCTTCCCTTCCCCAGTAGTAAAGCATTGTGCATGTTTATGCTAGTGTCTTTTTAAAATAAACAAATCCATCTATAATCTGTTTAAAACTGTTTCCAATTGGTTGATTTTCTTTTTCTTTTTTTGTTAGATGAAAGGGGCACTGACTGAAATTATCCAGCTCGCTACCTTGGATTCAGACCCCTGGGTCTTAATGGTAGCTGATATTTTAAAATCCTTTCCAGATACTGGGTCCCTTAACCTTGATCTTGAAGAACAGAATCCCAATGTTCAAGATATTTTAGGAGAGCTTAGAGAAAAAGGTAAGCCTTTTCTGATGGTGAAAATTACAGAGGTATGATGCCTTTTTTCTTTTTTAGAAGTAACCTGTTGTTTCACAGGCAGTCTTGCTATCCTAACAGTATTGGTATCAGGACAAGCAGTATGTCTTGTCTCTTAACTGCCACAGTTCATGACCTGGCATGTTACTGGACTGAGAACTGTGATATTTGAGGAATGGTAACTTCTTAAATTATCTTTTCACACATCATCAGAACTTAAATGTCAGGTATTACCCTGAGTGTTTGTGAAGGGTAACACACAAGTTAATGTGGATTCATTAGTGTTGTAGACGAGCTGTATGTGCACTGGTAGGTAGTAACTGACACTGCAGCTTCGTAAGTTGAGGTTTTTCATACATTGGTCTGTCTCATATGTTGTAGTATAAGACTCTGTTTCGGCAGTGCCTGTGTGGACAACCTCGTGTGTGTGGAAGCACCACTGTTGTTTTGGGCAGGTGGGGTGCATCTCTGCTGGAAGTCCTCCCCTAGGAAATGAATGATAGGTGCTGTGGGGGAGACTGACCACAGAAAGAGTTATGCTGCTGATGTCCAGCTAGCTATGGATTGCCTAGCAGCTGAAAATACTGCCTCGGGCACTTCCACAGTTGCTACTTCAAACGACTATGTAGTAAATGGTTACACAAAGCTGCTCCTACTGCAGTGGGTTTGATTTAGCACACTGCCTCGAAAAAGTCCCTCCGGCACCAAGGGACAGACGTGGTCTTGGAGTTAGGATTGCAGCAGACCAGTAATGAAATGAGTTGGATGTGGAAGCCTTTTGTTTTCTTGCTATAAAGAAATGATTATTTGTCTGTTCACTCTTTTTGTTTGGACTTTTAAGGAATCTGTTAATTCAATCATTTTTGTCATCTTTGATAATAATAGTATATTTAAGATTCCTGAAATTTGACTAGGTGTAATTAACATGGAAGCTCTTATGAAGCTGATGTAAAAAACAAACATCCTAATAACTGGTTATGTAGTGTAATAATTAGAGCTAAATTACTCTTGGTGTTTAAGCAAGTAATCTAAAATTTAAAAACACCTGTACAGCCTAGTTGTAAAATGTTTTGTAATTAGCTGTCAAAGAACTATGCTAATACCCATGTGTACTGTGTTAAATCTTTATGCAGTAAGTGAATGTGAAACTTCAGCTATGTTGCCGCTGGAATGCCAATACTTAAACAAAAATGCCTTGACGACACTGGCTGGGCCACTTACTCCCCCAGTGAAACACTTCCAGCTGAAAAGGAAACCTAAGAGTGCCACACTCAGAGCTGAACTCCTGCAGAAGTGTAAGTAGTCTTACAGCTAGTTGATAAGGTTGAGTAACAAATTAAATGGTGAAAGGAAAATTTTTATTCAGACCTACTCTCCGGTATGGGAGTATACATTAAATTTTTCTGTTAGAGCTTTGCTGGTGGATTGTTTTGTCTTTGATAGACTGAGATGTGTGGAGGAGCAGGTGCAAGTCATTCCAGCCATGATTACATTAAAATGCTAATCTTGATTTAAATGCTGTTCAGGTTTCAAGGCATACAAAAAGCTGTAGCTTTTTAAAGCACAGTTATGTTCTCTCATGGGTATATTTAACAGTCAGTTGTGAAGACTTGTGAGGGACAGCTTTGTTTAGAGATCCTGAAACTAAACTGAAAAAAACTTAGTTTTATTTTGCCATATGTTTTTGCAACAGAGAGCAAGAACTGCTAATGAATGCTTTCTTTTGCTCAGTATAGCTATATAGGGTGTGAAAACCAAGAAAGTTTTTGCTAACAAAAGGCAACATGTGTCCATATATGTACTGGTAGCTGCTTGAACTAAGTGATTTTAAAATAGTTTATCTGCTGTTCTGTTGCAGCAGTTTTTCTTTCTTGCATGTGACTTAAGTAGTTGGTCTGGTTAAATAGAAGATTTGTAACTTTTTATGATGTTATATAGAAATGTCTTTATTTCAGTCTCTATTTAGTAAATTGTTTAAATTTAAATTTACAATACAACCATCTTGTCAGTTGCATAGTCATATTGATCTTGCATCTTCTCCAAATACTGTATTTACCTCGCATAAATTACGTGGCTTTTAATTAAAATACAATTCTTTCTTTGTTGCTATTCCCATATTTTTGTGTATTGGTTAATAACATTTTATATAAGCAGCAATGTATTGTATTTTTTCAGCATAGATTCTGTAATAACTAAAGCCCTTTTTCTTTTTAGCAACAGAAACTGCACAACAGCTCAAGAAGACTGCAGGAGTGCCTTTCCATGCCAAAGGCAGGGGACTGGTCAAAAAGATAGATACAACAAGTACGACTCACTTTCATCACTTCCCAGAAAGAAAATCTGATCAAATAGCCTTGATGAGTAACATTACCGTGTAGTTTTTGCAAAAACTTAATTCTTGTTGAAGCAAAGGGTTTCTCCCTTTCTGCCTCCTTCTCTCTTGATATTTAAATGTTTCTGACAAGACATGTCAGAAAGAACAAGAGTGTGGGGTTTTTCTTAAATGGCAAGTGTATCTGCTGTGCTTCTAAAATGTATGCAGCTAAATCATGCCTGTAGACTTCGGTAAGAATTTAATTTGCATCACTCCAGGAATAACTCCTGACTAAGCCATGTTGCTCCAGAAGGGAGCAGAGTGGATCACAGTAATCTGCTGTGCTCTTTGAAATGCCGTGAAGTAGACTGAAACTATCTTCTGCTTGTATAATTCTGTGTGGAGAGAGACGAGAGAATAGCGTGCTCTCTGCAGCCAAGGCTCCACAGTGGCTTCTATTTAATGGACATAACAAAATTGTATAATCATTCTTCAACTTTGCAGTAATAGTTTCAGCTGTGTTCAGGAGCTATAGCATTTTTCAAGTAAGTTTTTGACTAGGAGGAAGAGGAGGGTTTAACATTAGTCCCGTACTGTACATCGCTGCACAGGTAGAACTTTCCAGACCACCAATACGATGCTGAGGTGCAAAACTTGAGTGGTTTCTTCTTGGTGTGGTGGCTAGAAGCTATGAAGTACTTTGTGTCGATGCTATTTAAGATGTGATTTCGAGCACCAAAGTTTGGCCACATGTTCATGCAGGAAATGCAAGAAGTGTAGTTGTAATTTGAACTAAAAATTGTCCTAGTGTGGAAATTGACCATTAGTTGTTCTTGGCATCTGTTTTAGCTGTTGAACTAAAAGCTAGTTTTTAGACTTGGCCTCTAGAGCCAGGTGAGTTGTGGGAACAGCTGAGGTTTGCTCTGCTGAAGCTTACATGGTCAGAGAGGATTGTCCTGTGGTAAAAAGAGTTTTCAGTACAACATATAGAGGGATACAGAGTAGCTAACTTCAAACCAAAACTCTGTGTTTATGTTCAAACTGTAGGGTATGATGGGATTGTCAGGAGGCTCAAAAACCTGGTAGATATGTGTATGTGTCCCTAATTTTTTAGCAGTTGGTGAAAGAATGCTATCTTCAGAGCTTACATTAAGCATGAGGTAGAAATGTAACAGTGTAAAGGTGGGTGAAAACAGCTTCTTAGAGGTGTAGCAGTTTCTACAGAGTGTTGAGACAGCAGGTTTTGTGTTTACAATATAGACACGAATTTGATCCTCCTGCTTGTGCAAACAGCAGCTCCAGAATTTCAAGCTCCTGTGTGAAGCAGTGATTTACCTTTCCAGTAGATTAAAAGCCCTTATCCCTGCAGAAGCTTGGCTAAGAATCTTTGATTAAATGCAGTTTTACCATGAACTAGATCTTAAAGTTCAAAGAGCAACTCTGGCAATAACTGGATTCAGAACATTGATGCCCGATACCTTTTTATGTGTTCAAAATTTATTTATTATAAGTAAGGAGAGCATCGATGTATTAGGAAAAGGTACATTTTGATAGCAGTGCACCTACTTGATTACTGCACATAGAATGGGGTTGCAAGCATTAGCCTAGAGATTGGCTTTTACTAAAACCTAATCTGACCTTTGAGGGACATGTGGTGTATTATAGACGGTTCCACGTTATAAATATTTGGAGTTAAAAACATGTGAGTGCATTAAGAAGGAGAAAAGCTGAAGAACTCCTTATTACTGTTTTTCGCAACTAATTAAACATACATTACAATTGTTGCCTCTTTTGATCTTCCCTAAGCACCACTCAAAGGAATACCAAAACAAGCTCCATTCAGGAGTACTTCAGCACCTAGTGTATTTAGTCCTTCTGGAAACAGAACTCCTATTCCTCCTTCAAGAACACCTTTGCGCAAAGAAAGAGGAGTAAAGGTAGGTGCGATCTTTCTTAGTCTCTTGCTTTCTTGCTCAGTTCTCCCTGATCTATAGTGAATTTCTGATGCTGCTTTGAATAAAGTATCAATATATTAAAGAAGAAATTAAGATCATTATTTGGAGATCAAGTACATAAATTTAACAATGATTTTTAATTTTGCTATGGTCTTTCTTTTTAGCTTCTAGATATCTCTGAGCTGGATATGGTAGGTGCTGGCCGTGAAGCAAAGAGAAGAAGAAAGACATTAGGTTGGTAAAGCATGCTACTTACAAAGCTATTGATATACCTGTAAATAGGATCTAGATTTGTAGTACCATGTTGTTCTTCATTTGTTAAAACTTATCTTCGACTAAACTTGAAAAAGGGGGCAGGAATAAAACCCCAAACCAAAAACGCTCTAAGGGAGGATTTTCACTTTTTTCCAATGCTCCTAATCATATTGCCGTGTGCCAGGTAATAACTTGACTCAGTTGCACAAAAGGATTGAACTAGTCAGTTGTGCTTTGGTCAGCACATAAGTATGTGGGTGGCTTCAGTACTGGAATTGTTCTGGGATACTTTAGTATGCTTATTTCTACTGGCTGTGTGGCCAAGTAAACTAATTGAAAGTAACGTTGAAAAAAATTTATAGTGCTCCAAAATTCTGGCTGAGAGATCTTAACAAGTGAATAATATCTGATATACTACTCTTAAGTTAGATGACAGTGTAGTGCTCTACTTAACCATATCAGGAAGATACGCTAGGCAGCATATTTGCCCCCGAAACAACCTTTTTGTTTGTGTTGCCAAAAAAATGAGTACCATCTCAGAACAAAATCATAATCGCAATTAAATTTTGGCTTGTTTTTTTGATGCTTTGTAATGTCACAAAATTAGCCAGTTCTGCCCAGTTACTCAGTTACTGTAGCTTGATGGATATACATTGTGGTTCAGTTCATAATTGGGTTGATTATAAAATTGTGTATGAAAGTTACTCTATCCATCAACCTTTCAGCGTATACCTCTTTAAGCACCTTTAGCAGACTGAGAAATGCATTTTTATATCTTTGTTTAAAAAAGTGTATCTAATTCAATATTTCAGAAAACTTCCTTGAACTGACTTCTATTTTTATGCAATAGATACAGAAGTTGTGGAAAAGCAAGCCAAAGAAGAAACAGTAGTAGAAAATGCTACCCCAGATTATGCTGCTGGCCTGGTGTCTACACAGGTAAAACCAAACAAAGCGAAAACAAACAAACAAAAAAAAGATGAGGAAGCCATGATGCTTGCTATTTTAAAACACTTAAACGCTGTAATGATATATTACTAACTTGTTGAAACCTGCCTATTGATGTAAAAAATCCTTACATAATTATTTCAGAGTTCCATTGTATTTTCACTAAACTAGATAAAAATATTCAAAGCAGGATGAAGGTAGAGTCTTTGATTGTTGTTGCTGTTCTGTTTGTGATGGGGTATGGTATTTCTGTAGCTGAGGATTGCAGTCTTCTGTCAGAGAGGACAGGGATGGGAGGGTGCTCTGACCCTAGAGAGGTAGATCCATTTTCAGGAGTTCTGCAGGCTTCACTCTGTGCCTGTGCATGCTTTGCAACCCTAGTGGAGCAGCGTCCACAGAAGTCTCGGTGAGGAGCACTTGTCATTGGCCTGTGCCCAGGAGGGACAGCTGAATATAAGCAGCCAAGTAAGGAAGAAATCTTTACAACTCGTCTGTCTTCTGGCTTGAGAGAAGAACCTACACACTAGTACCCTTCTGTGGTTCTCTTCTCCATTTTTAGCTTATAATCTTTGAGAATCGATGCTTAATCCAGAAGGCAGCTTTTTCTGAGGTCTCCAAACCTGTCTGTAACTGGGCTTAGCCAGTTCCATTACTACTGAAAGGGGAGAGAAATACAGTGGAATCGATCTCCATCCAAATTACTCATGGCTTATAAACTTGTGCTTCTTAAAACCCATAAAGTTTAGAGGTGGCTGCTCCTTTCAACAGTTGTTTGGGGTTTTTTTAAATACAAAAGTTATTTGGGACCTACTGAAAAAGCTAACCTGTTGCTAGAGGTAGTTCAGTTGGAGTGGTGGGAGGTTGGGGGCGGAGTCGTGTGTAGGGTGTTTTCCTGTTCTTTCAGTTACGGTGTATGGGGAAAAACGGTGACGCAGCTTTGTTTTCTCAGTCAGGACATGGCTTTTACAAGAATGTTAGGTCCTTCCCTGGCTTCTGAGTTAGAAACTGTCTGTTCTGTTCCAGTAAGCCTTGGCCTGAAATTATTTTGGACAACTGGGTTCTTTAAATGCTAATAGATAATTTGAGGCTGTTGCACCCAGTGTTTGCAAGCCTCTTGGGACAATAGAAATCCATCTCGACTCTTAAGTTCTTCTCTTGTTCCAAATATAAAGTGGTTATGATTACCTCTGCCTCTTCAAGTCCATGTGTTGACACACAGTGCTTGCCTTTGGAGAGCACTCTATTTAAAAGGCCTGTGGTTTGGTTGGTGAGCCAGGCATTTTTTCCGCTAGAGCCTACTGGTAAGCACATGCACCATTGGTCCCACGGTTATGGGGTAGCAATCTATGCATGCATGCCAAAACCAGCATACAGGCACATACTGTAGGCCTGTGTCAGGAGTGAAAGTCACTGCCTGTCTTTCTGCAGAATGCCAAGAGTGTCTTTCTTGGCAAGCCTCAAATTTTGCAGAATTTTATCTGGTAAGGCTACCTTAAATGATTTGTCTGCTAGACTTACTCACTCCACCAAAACTTCTTTGTCAACCCCTCATGTTTATAAGGCTGGATTGGACTGAGGTGAAGATCTTCATAGAGATACCATGCTGTTGTCTTCATGTTGTGTGTGCGATGTCATGTATAGTTAAGTACAAGGCGTGCCATTTTCTTTGGCTTGATCCTAGGTGACATCCATCATGTTGATGTTGACTGCCTGTTTCAGTGGAAACAGGGTGTTACCTGTGCTTTTACTGCTGCCTTCTGCTTGCTTATGTCCCAGAGGCCTTTGCGTTCTCCTGGGTGATGTTTTAGTAGGCCTTTTGCCCATGGATGAGCGCAGGTTTCTGATTGCTAATAGCGAAAAGCATGTTTGCTCAGGCAGAAGATCACTTATTTCTGTAGTGTAATTCTTTAGTGGGAACCATCTGCAGAGATTTCCTTCTTTGATCTCCACAGTACTAGCTGAGGAATGGGATGAAGGAACAGCAGCTTCGCTCTCTTTGCGAGTACATTCTCAATAATAGTATTTTTTTTTCTGGCTCAGACTGTGCCTTTGGAAGCAACTTTTATCTGAATTACGGGAAATAAAAGCTACTCTTTCTCTCCTAGGGTAACTCTAGTGTCTGAAGTTTGTATAGGGAGTTAGGGTTGATAGGGCAAACTTGCCCTAACAAAAGAGTCCATAGTTAACTTCCCAAAGGAAATATCATAGCAGAACTGACGTTGAAATTGTGTTTAAAATGTAGAAACAGCACATGAATGCATGCGGTATGGCTGTAACTTTCTTTCTTGTTTTATAGAAACTTGGCTCCTTGAACAATGAGCCTGCACTACCTTCTACAAGTTACTTACCTGCTACCCCCAGTGTGGTGCCGTCTTCCTCGTATATCCCAAGCTCTGAAACACAGCCAGGTAAAAGGCACTTTTTTGCTTTTGGAACCTACCACCTCCAACTACATACAGTTTTACTGTCTAGCTGCTCTTTTATTTACAAATCTACTGTCCCTCAACTCCAGTTGACCGTAGCAGTCTAAAAATCCATTGCAGGAACTCACCCTTTGGCTTTGGGGTAACCAGACGTGTCATTTAACCTAAGTAAAGAAAATGCCTATTGGTTTTAAGTCTTAAAATAACTGCTGGTTAAGTCAAGCAAGCAAAGCTTGCAGGTTCCACATTATCATAAGGAAAAACTCTTTCACTGTGAGGGTGACAGAGCACTGGAACAGGCTGCCCAGAGGGGTTGTGGAGTTTCCTTCTCTGGAGACATTCAACCTGCCTGGACGTGTTCCTGTGTGACCTACTGTAGGTGGTCCTGCTCTGGCAGGGGGGTTGGACTAGATGATCTTTCAAGGTCCCTTCCAACCCCTGACATCTGTGATTCTGTGAAAGCAATTTACTGTGGGTTTTCTTCTTACTCTGTAATAAAATATCCAGCAATATTTTTTAATCCCTAAAGAGGCACCAGTAGTACAGTAAGTCCAGCGTATATACTCCATACACACATCTGTATGCATACACTTACAAAACAGTTGCTTTCAAGAGCCATAAATTTCTAGAGGCAAGTGCACGTTAGCTTTCATACAGACTGGGATGAAGCTATATCCATTTTCCTTTTACCGTATTACAATGCTGATAGATAACAGCTGAGCTGCTGCATATTGTGAAAAGTGCTACATTATTTTCAATTCTAGAAAATTGCATTATAATAAAAAAAGCGTTCATACAAATCCTTTATTTCTACACCTTTTATTTAAACACGCTTGGCTTTACTTTTCCTTCCCTGCTGCATGTAAAGTCTTAAAGGAATGTATCAGTTTCCGTTAACAGATGTGCATGACAGGGACTTATTACCAGATCTTGTAGTTAACAGAGAACCAATGTTTCAGTTCAATGCATTATTTTTTCTCTTGCTTGTTGTGATTTGGTACCGTAATGTTTGTCTTCATGTGTGTGAGCTGTGGCATGTTGGTCACTAGAAAAATGCACATGCAAAACGTGGTCACTTCACTTGGCCCTGAAACAGTTCAGAATCTGTTTGAAGGTCCATGCAAATCTTCCTCTGGCAGAAAATTGGCATCTCCAGAAGGAACACGGCCAAGAGCACGTCAGTGCTGTCAGCAGATAGTATTATTTTCCAGAGCCTTGGCATTGTATTTGACAGCAGGAGAAGCCTAGTTTAAAATTATCTATTGTCTTCTGTTCTCTATTTTTTCTGACTTTTTGGTGTATGGGATATCTAGCTTTTCTTATGGATAAGGAATATAAAAATGTTTCCTTGGTAGAAGACACACACAAAAGATCCACAGATTTGGTCTTGTATAATCTGAGGGTGCATAATTGAAGACATGTTACTTTATGCAAGCTGGTTTTTCTGACATGAAGAAGCCAGTAATAAAACTTACGAGATTTGTACAAAAATAAGGGGTGACTAATTGTTACAAATGTTTGTCCTCTCAAGTGTTCACTGTTCTGTTCCGCGTGTTACTGGACAATAGCCATATTGTTAAAACCAGTGCTGTGTCTGTGCCTAGCTGGAGAGTGGTAGACCTCTCGTTCTCTAAAATCTGATCTGAAAGGCATCAGCGTAGCTCTGGTATGTATCTGCCTTTTAGTCTACTGTGAACACAGTGTGAACAGGTTAGCCTAAACCTCATGAGATTAGTGAAAGGTGCTTAAGCAGCTGTGCCTGTGTCCAAGAGCTGCAAAAGAGTGTAACTGGCTGGAGTGTTTGCTGGTACTTACTGTTTGTTGGACAGTTAGGAAGTGACTTGATCGTATGTGTAACCTCCACCTCAGGTTCCAAAGAGTAACTCCCTTAAGTGCTGGTGAATGGATCAACTTTGAGAAGTAACAGGACTTGTCAATTCTGTGGGGGTTTAACCCTCTTAGCAGTTAGCGTTTAAATAAGGACCGGTTTGTGAAGACTACACTTAATTCTATCGTCCATTTAAGTATTTGTTTATTTTCAGTATTTGTTACTGGCTGAGACTTAATTACCATTTCCTGTGGAAGCTGCTTTTACATTGGGTAAAGACTGATGAAATATTTTAATGGTTTTGCCTTTGTAACAGTACAACAATAGTCGTGGTAGGGTCAGGGTACAGCTGTTATAGCAATACAAGCTAAAAAGTAAATACAGCAGTTTCCATTTAATAAATGGAAATATAAATATAATTTGATGCTAAATGTACTATAATCCGTATTGGACAGCTAGTCACTCAGTTGTCTAATTATTGCTAAAGATAGAGTGCAAAGAGCATTAGCTCTTCAATTTTTCATGTACATGTTAGATGGCATACTGAATCATGATGCTACTGTGGAATAATCAGGTTTTCTTTAAAGGCTGTTGGTGATGCTAATCCTTGTTTGGGTTATAATGTTTTTAATTATCCTGATTGGATTTTGCAGCTGGCTCTGCACGAGAGGCCTTGCAGACTAACAGGCAGACTGAAGAACCTGCAGCTCCAAATGCTACTACAACTCTTCCTGCACAATTCAAACAAAGAACACCCATGTACAATAGCAACTCTAATCCACCTGCAGCTACACCTACCTCACCCCTGACACCTACCACACCTCCTGCCATTTCCCCTGCGGCACAAGCACCACAAGTGGCCCCCCAAACTCAGCAACAGCCACCACCGAAGAAAAGCCTCTCTCTCACAGTAAGTAAAACCAGGTTCTTGTTGACTGCTGCTTTTGTAGATTGGAAAATGCAAATTTTTATTATTGATCTTGCTTAGTACCTTGGCAGTTCCTGACCTTTGGGTCATGGAGTGATTGAGGCTGCTTTTTTTTTTTTTATAACCAAAGGTAATGAAAAAGTTTTGTGGCTCTGTCAGCATTGCTGTCTTAATGTTAATTACAACATTTTTATTTGTGCAATGTTAATGTCGCAGTAAGATGTCTTTATTTACTGCCATTTGTTATTTAAAATAATACGGCGCTACTCATTATAAAGGATTGTGGGAGAAAGGTGTATTTCCAGCAGAGCTGTTGCCCAGCCAGTGGCGTATAATGCAAGCTGCTAAAGAAGGAGGCTGTCACTGCTGTAGCAGGAGAAAAGATACCAACAGATCATTCTAAATTGAAAGCCTTAATTTCTTGATGCCCTCAGCCCCCCATTACACATATTTTAAAGCCTGAGAGTGGGGAGGAAACTAAACTCAACAGCAATTACATATGTCCTGAAGTTTCTTAGTGCTGGTATGTTGGTATGTATTATGTGTGTGCATGAAGTTAAGGAGGTAACTTCAAGATGCAGCTGACTTGAAGGCTTTGCTAAGCACAACTGTCAGCCTGGCTTGCAAGGTCTGAACTTCGAGAAGCCGGGTGACTTTTAAGTATCTCTACTTTATTAAAGGGGAAAAAAAAAAGCCTTCCTCTGAAATGACTGCAAGCCTGTGTTTGTTGGACTGTAGAGGAAGCATTGTGCTTTTTCTCCTTTTTTTTCCTAATGTCATAAAGAACACAACATTGGTAATGTAAACATTAAGTCTCTTAGCACATGTTTGTGTAACTATTTTTAAATGTGTGGTGTTTTCCAGTTTCAGAATTGAGTTGTTGCTGCTCTTAAGTGTTAGGTGTAAGCATTGAAGAGGGAAAGCCTTGAGGTTAAGGCTTTTTTTTGTTTACTTTTTGTAGGTGTACGTCTACAAACTTCCACCTTACTCTTTTACGCTTGTCTGCAGGTATTGATATGGTACCTGTTGGTAGCATTTTCTCCACTGGAATTCATATTTGTTGTATCTGTTGCAGAGGGAGCAAATGTACGCCGCACAGGAAATGTTCAAGACTGCAAACAAAGTTACAAGGCCAGAAAAGGCTCTTATACTTGGATTCATGGCAGGATCCAGAGGCATGTATTGAGACTAATTTAGCTTGCTTTTGAATACCTATAACTGAGCCTAGCGTTTCTAAATGTGCATGTGTGAGTGCAAGGCTCTTGCTTTAGCTTTGCTCTGTGTGTACTGGACTCTTTGCTTTCCTCTGGACTGTACGTAGGTTTATGGACTATAGTTCTAACTCGTTTAGTTCCAACGAGCTGCAAATGGGTCTTTAGGGTCTATTTCCAGTAAGTCAGTCAGTCGGAGCAGCTGCTAAACCCAATATATGCATACCTGAACACATGTAATATCATGACTTAGGGGCTGAAGGGAAACAAGGCAGCCAGTCAGAACAGTGAACAGACTGGTTAGGTCCCAGTAGTCTGCCTAGAAGCCCAACGAATCCAAGTTCTTTATGGCAAGTCGAGGTGCAAGCTGGGTAGTACAGAGCCTCTGTGCTAATCCCTTAGCATTAGACATGTAGCAACTGTTGTCTCAAACCGTAGGTAGCCACAGGTGCTGTGAACCACAGGGAGATAAACTGTCTCGTAGCGAGATCCTGTCCTGTCTTAGCCTGGATAGACTAAGGCTGTTTGAGCCAGAAGATTATCAGATGTAAGATGAGAAGGGGCTTGAGTCCTTAAGTGACCTCTATCACCTGCACTAGCTCTGGTTTCTAACTTGGTATCTCAGGGCTCTTATCGCTGCAGTGCTGGAGCCTAAGTGTGGCTCGTGCGTTTGGATTAATGCGATACACCATTGAAGGTGATCAGGGTGGAGTTACTGTGATGCTCCCTGGGCTTTAAGAAAGTTTTGTGTATTTTGCATTAATGGTGGTGCTCGTAGTACTAGATACTACTTCCAGTTGCAGTAGGAGAGTGTACTTTAATATCTACACGGACAGGTTTTTGTAATGCAAGGTAAAATATGATTTTGGAAGAGTGTGTGCGTTTTATATATTCATGTAGAGCATATATAGGTATGTATATAAAAATATTAATTCCTTCAGTAATAATGTCAGCACCTTCTGAAGGGTGGGTAAATAGCTGCCAACTGTGATGTTCTTGAGCTGCTTGAGTGCCAATTCCAGTGCCTTGAAATGTAACATTTAATACTTCTCTTGGCACAGAACTGAGTCTTGGATGAGTGACTTCAGTGAAGCTGCTTGGGCTTCTAGAACAGCTGAGAATTGTTGAGGCTTTTAACTACAAAATGTATCCCAAATAAAGTAAATCTGGTAGTTTCAAGTTTACTGACTCCCATTTAAATATAAGCTTCTCTTATAACTCTTAAGGCAGACAGAAAGGACACTGGCATGCTTTACTCACCCTTTTGCTGTTCTTACAGTTACTTTAGCCTTGGGGTTCATCTCTTGGGGTCTGGTTTTGTTATCCTTAAAACTTGGTCCGTGATGTAGGGAGGGAGGAAGATCTTTGTGTGGCTACATGCATTAGGGATGTTACTTGCTCAGTTCTGGGTTTGGGGTTGGTTTGTTTGGGTTTTGGGGTTTTTCAGTGTAAGATAAGAATATCCATCAAGTGGTCTTTACCTTTTCTAATACAATGTTGAAATGTATAATTTGTTCCTGTTCTTGTTTTCACAGAGAATCCTTGCCAAGAGCAAGGTGACATCATCCAAATTAAACTTAGTGAGCATACAGAAGATTTACCAAAGGCAGATGGCACTGGCAGCACCACTATGTTGGTTGATACGGTCTTTGAAATGAACTATGCTACTGGTGAATGGACCAGATTCAAGAAGTACAAACCTATAACTAATGTTTCCTAAGAGGTGCCACAACAGCAGACTGGACCAAATCAAGCTTAGGGTCAACCAGCTCATAGAGTATGTCAACTGTACACCCGAACACCACTTTGTACATTTCTTATTACCCGCCAGAGTAGAAGTTGTGGCTCTTCAACCTAACTGAGCTCAGTAAACACAGAAGATGATGGTGTCAAACTGGCTTTTTTTTTTTTTTAATCTTGGGAGAGGGGAAGGTGATCCTGGGGGGGAAAGTTGTTGGTGTGTTTTTGTTTTCCTACTGTTCAAAATGCTGGAAAAGGAGATCACAACTGAAAGATTACAGACGGGAGCAGTTTGCCTTGAGTACCAGAAGAGAAGACTACTGCACAGTCATTCACCGTTTACCATTAAACACGGGCACAGATCTTTATTGTAAAAACATTTTCTTTGGCTACATGGGTTCTATTGTAAGAATGGACATTTAAAGCACCAGAGGTCGGTGCGTGATTGTTTTGTAATTCAGCTGCAGGATAACTAAATATTGCAGGTGGTAGATGTCCAGTGTCTAACGGTACCCACTGTATGTTTAGCTTATTTATGCTTGGGTCATAGGATGAGATTGAGCAGCTTCTGTTAACTCGCTATATTGTCAGCGTCCATGCCCGGCATGAATTAACCTATATTTGGCATTATTTGAGGGGGAGAGAAACTGAGTATCATAACTTTCTGAAGAAAAAAAAAATTAAAAAAGTAACGGTGGCCCGTCACTGCCTGGAAGTGATGGCTCTTTGCCGTGTAAGCCTTGGGGTAGGAGGTGATCGATGGCTCTTGCATAGCAAACCCTTTGAACAGCATAACTTGCCAGAGAGGAGGTGGAACTATTGCATCTCAAGACCCATTGCAGCTGAATTTGAAAACGGCCCTAGCGCTGGTTGAGTGACACATACCTGAATATCGATGGTTGGGGAGATTTGTTGTCTTGAGGCAGTGTTAGTTGGTGTTTGGTTGAGCAGTCATAAGCTGTTTGATTGGCAAGCCCTGATCCAAAAAGTTTTGAATGACTGTAGCTGTGGTTCTTACCAGTGTAGTTATAGCAGTGTAATCACTAGTGTGGCCACAGTTATGCTGGCATATAAATGTGCCTTATACTTGTCCCCTTCTAGTAGAAGCACATTTTTATCTTTATAACTGTGTTCACATCACTGATATAATTTGGCTTTAATAGTACAAATAAAGCTTGCATTTATTGAGGGCTTAAGTACATAGTTCGGGGCTCAGCCTTTGGAGACTTGGTTTCATCACTTGAAGGAGACTTGGATTAAATGTCTGTTTCTGCCAGTACTTGTATGTGGAGCTGTGCTCGGCTGAGAAGGGCGCTTAGAAGGAAGAAATACAAAGATGAATATCATAATGGTTGTTCGGTGCTGAGGAGGTCCCTTGGGCTGACCAGAGGTTCATGTTGAAGTGGAACTCTTAGGACAAAATGAGGCTTTTTTATTTTTCTGAAAAGAAAGCAGACCAAATTCCATTAAATACAGTTATATACTAACAGATGTTTAGGTGATTGATTGGAGTCTTTTTGTATTGGGGAGTTTTTATTGCATTTTATTTTTAGTTTTTCAAACAAATTATCCAACAGGACAAGGCAAGTATAAATAATAAGAAAATCTGTATTCTACAGTGTTTTAAGATGTGACCAAAAGTGTAGGTTTCTTAAGTTTATTTAAGCAAATATACACAATGTTCTAGCTCCTGTAGTGGGCAAGTTACCTGATGGTACCTGCTACAATTACGGAGTGTCATGCATGTATTAGTGTGAAAGTTACTTGTATATAACTGTCACACTGGGGGCTCTCCTCCACATAATTACCCCACTTTGGAAGCAATGTAGATTGTGACTCTGATTGCGATTTTTTTTTTTCCATTTTAATTTTTTTTAAATGGCTAGTGACCAGCCTGACAAGTGAGGATGAGTAGTGGGTTTTAGTTTTTAGAAGTTCAGTAGAATGCATTTTCATGGTTATAAATTATTTGATTATAGTGTGTTACACAGTAAGGGCTAACAATGGAATGTAAAAGCATTCATCTTTTAAAAGAAAGGTTTAAAGAAAAGTGACATTCCTTTCCTTGTCTGCATTCAGATTTTTAAAGTTTTCTTGTGATGACCAGTTTTCTGTAGACATGTATGATACTTCTGTCTTAACTGTTCCTGCTTGCTAGATAAGCTGCAAGTACCAAATACAATTTTTAAGAAAGAACTTTTAGAAAAGTGGCTGACTCGAGGGACACGTACTGTCATTGTAAATTGTTGATGCAAGACTTTGCAATCCAGTAGCTCTCAGGAGCTGCTGTGTGATGGCTCCTTTGGCTTCCTCGAGATTAGTGGGCATCCCTCGCTACACTTTCTTAGAAGTCTGGATTTCAGACCTGTGCTGCCGGGCTGGAGACAGCTGCCCCTCTCCTTCAGGAAGCCGTTCTAGATGCACTGGAGTCATTTGAGTGCAGTAGTGTGTAGGAAGCTTCACCATGCTGCTATTTGTATTTGCTGCGTAACAAAGTTGGTCTCCGGGCCTGTTTGTCTAAAATCAGTCGTATGCAATAAATTGAATTTTAAATAGAAGCATAGTATATTTTTAATTCCGTTAAGTCATTAGGATGAGGCAATTTAACGCTGCAAAAATAATTTATTTTTAAAAGTGACTTTATGACCCCCAATACCAGAGCATTACTTCAACTTGATCTGTGAATCTAGAAAGGTTTTTTTAAAATGCCTAAAGAAAGGGAAGGGTTTGCGACACTGTTAAAATGATAGGTGAGAAGTAAAACTACATGGAGTTCCTTGGTTCAGAGAATGAAATTGTTGAACCGGTGGTCTGAAAGTAGGGATAATGCCAGACAATTCAGAAAGGGCAAGATCAACGTTTAGATTCAAATCTAGTGGAATCGTTGCATGCAGAACAAAATCTGGCCCTGGAACTTGATATTTTTTTGTCTTGAATGTTCAGTCACTTGGATGTTAGCTGGATTCCATTCAGTGAGGCTCAAGGTGTGCCGTAAGATCAAACAAAAACGTTTTTTGACTCTAGAACGACTTGCAGATGTACTGGAAAATTGACCAGAGAAGTAGTTCAGA